AGGGGAAATCACCATCTATCCTTGGAAGAATGGCAAGCTCTTAGCATGGGACTATACCTGTGTGTCCACACTGGCTGACACCTATATTCATCACAGTGTGGGGCGACAGGGAGGAGCTGCTGACCACAGGGAGGAGTACAAGATCAGCAAGTACAGGGACATTAGCCAACAGTATCAATTTGTCCCAGTGGGATCAGAGACCTTGGGGTCATGGGGAAAAAATGCCACACGTTTCCTTAAAGAATTGGGTTCCAGACTCATCGACACCACCAGGGACCCAAGGGCAGCCACTTTCATGTTCCAGCGCCTCAGCGTCGCCATCCAGAGGGGAAATGCTTGCTGCATACTTGGCTCACGTCCAGCCTCGGAGGAGCTGGAGGAAATTCATGATCTTTTATACATTGTGCCATTGTATTCATGTTTATGTTTTTTTCTGTAAATGTATTTTGTTTATTAATAAATGTTCACATAGAATAAAAAATATATAGGGGGTGGTAGGAGAAGAAAATATTCAAACAGCTCCGGGGAGAACCTTGAGTTTTCCCTGAGGTACGTTTATTGTCTTCTCTGAGGATGAGGGTCCCCAGTCCAGCTATAGAGGTGGTACTTCCCTATATTTAATATATATATTATATATATATATAATATATATATAATATTTTATATATTATATATATATATATATAATATATATATATATATATATATATATATATATATTATATTATATATCATGGTTTATTAGACATACCTGAGAATTTATAGCTGACCCTTAAGTGTCACCCGGATATCTGCATTCTTGATTGAAAAATAGCGTCTTTTGATGAATGTCACACATCCTCCACTCAGTCTGGAAGTTTGTAACACTCGCACTGTCACTACACTGTTCTCCAATACTTGTCTTTTATTTCGGAGCAATATGACTACAGGGAGCTAGCACACTTCCTTGTAAATTTTCTATCACCAAAGTTCAAATGTTAAGTGTCCGAACGATCGAGAACACACTGTTAAAGTTGCTTTGTTAAGGTCAATGCACGCGAAACACGCTTCTCACACCAGTTCTTATTTCAGTCTGATGGCCTCTGCCCCACTTGAGCCACAGCTGCCCTCGGCGTCTCCAGCCATACGAAAGATATGCTGATTCCAGCGGTTTTCCCTTCCTTGCCAAACTTTCAACAGAAGCAATACAATATGCTTGATTTCTTGTTGTCTGGGAATAGACGATAATTCATGCTAGCATTAACTTGTAAATGAATTGGGTGCAAGGTTTTCCTTAACTTTCCTGCTACTTTAAGAAATTAATTCTCTCTCATTAACCCACATTAGTTGCAACACTGGTCAGCCATGACATGTCTTACTTGGCACCAGACACAAACATGTGTAACAAATTAAACTTGTTGATCAGAAACTAGATGACAATTGCCCTTTCTGAGAGGGTCGTCCCTCAGGGCTGAAAGCAGCTTAAAAGGGTAGAAGGGGCTGAAGGGGGTCGGTACCCCCCTCCTGGAGAAAATTTCTCCACACATACATTCGTACATACATACATACATAGATGCATGCATACATACATACGTACATACTTAGACCAAATTGAAGGAAGTGTTGGACACACTTTACAAAAGTGATGATGAGGTGAAGAAGTTGCTGAGTGAACTGGATACCTCAGAGGCAGTTGAACTTGACACCATCTCTCCATGAGTTCTGAGAGAGAAAAAATCAGAAACGTTATGTGTGCCACTAACAACAATCCTCAACACATTTATCGAAACATGGCAACTACCTGAGGTGTGGAAGATAGCAAATGTAGTCCCAGCCTTAAGAAAGGAGACAGGCAGGTAGCATCAAACTACAGAGAAGTGTCACCGACATGTATAGTTTGCAAAGTCATGGAGAATCTTATCAGGAAAATGCTGGCGAAGCACCTAGAAAGGAATGAGCTGATACACGATAACCAGTACGCTTTCAGGGAGGGGAAATCCTGTGTCACAAATCTACTAGAGTTTTACGACAAGGTAACAGAAGTAAAGCAGGAGAGAGAGGGATGGATAGACTGCCTTTTCTTGGGCTATAAGAAGGTTTTCCCCACAGTTCTACACAAGACATTAGTGCAAAAACCAGAAGAGCAGGAGGGAATAACAGGAAAGGCACTACAATGAATCAGGTACCTGTAATGAGCGGGTTCCTTGGGCCTGTGCTCTTTCTGGTATACGTGAGTGACATGAAGGAAGGGATAATTTCAGAGGTGTCCCTCTTTGCAGACGACGGGAAGCTAATGCGGAGAGTTCAAACAGATATGGGTAAGGGTGGATTACAAAGGAATATGGAGAGGCTGCAGTCCTGGTCCAACAACTGGCTCCTGAAGTTTAACCTCACAATGTGCAAAGTCATAAAAATTTGGGAAGGTAAAAGAAAACGAAAGAGTGCAGGCTAGAGGGACCGAAGACTACAAACCTTACTCAAGGAAAAGGATCTTGGGGTGAGTATGATACAGAGAACATCTCCTGAGGCGCATTTCAACCAATAACAGCTGCAGCATATGGGCGCTTGGCAAACCTAGGAATAGCATTTTGACAGTTGAGAAAGGAATCGTTCATGACTCTGTACACCGTGTACGTCAGACCCATATTGGAGTATGCAGCAAAGGTATGGCACTCACTCCTAGTCAAGCACATCAAGAAATCAGAGAAAGTTCAAAAGTTTACAACAAGACTAGTTCCGGAGCTAAGGGGTATGTCCGACGATTAGAGATTAAGGGAGAATAATCTGACGACACAGGAGGAAGACGAGATAAGGACATAAAATGCCGAAAGGAATTGACGAGGTGGATAACACTAGAAAGTTTCAGAGATAGGACACACCAAAAAAGGGTCGTAACTGAAAGTTGAAAACTCAAATGAGTCACAGGGATGTCAGGAAGTATTTCTTCAGTAACTGGTTTATCAGGAAGTGGTATAATCTGGAGAGTGGTGCATTGGAGGCAGGATCCAGGATCCATATGTAGCTTTAAGAAGAAATACGGTAATGCTGATGGAAGAGTGGACCTAGTAGAGACCAGCAAAGAGATCATACATACATACATACATACATACATTTTTCTTCTACAAACAAATAGTCTCCCACCGAAATAAACTGTTCCCCAAAAAAGAAACACTTTCACAATCACTCACTCCGTCACTGTCTTGCTAGAGGGGCATCGATACTTCAGTTCAAAACTGCAGATATCCCCACCCCTCTTTCAGAGTGCAGGCACTGTACTTCTCACCTCCAAGACCCAAGTCCCGCCAACCGGTTTCCCCGAATCTCTTCGAAAATGCTAACTTGCTCACACATGCTTGCTGGAAGTCTAAACCCTTTACACACAAAACCTCTTTTACCCCTCCTTCCAAAGCTTTCCTAGGACGACTCCTGACAGGCCTTCACTCCCATATTTGTGCTCCAAGTCTCCATACTCTCTGAATGTCTTAACCACCTCAACAACCCCTCATCCATCTTCCGGATAATACTTTTCATAACCCCACACCTCATTCTTATCTCCAATCTACGTATTTTCTGCTTAATAGTCACACAATACATTGCCCTCAGACACGACGTCTCCACTACCTCTAGCCTTTTTCTTGTTGCAACATTCGCCCCCATACTTCACACCCATATAAAAGAGTTGGTATAACTATACTCTCATACATTCCCCTCTTTTCTTCCTTGGATAAAGTTGTCTCCACAGACTCCTCAATGCACCACTCACCTTTTTCACCTCGTCATTTCTGTGGGTCACCTCATCCTTCATAGGCCCATTTGCTAAAAGTTCACTCCCCGTTATCAGAACAAATAAATTTCTTCCATACTCCTTACCTCCAATCTGACATTCAGTGTTAAATTATCTAGGCCTTTTTGTTATCCTCTTTACCTTGCTCTTTCCAATGTTAACTTTTTATTTCTTTTTTTATATATCCTTCCAGATTCGTCCACCAAAGTTTGTAATTTCTCTTCAAAATTTCCCAAAAGCACTGTTTTACGAATCACTTAGTTGCATTCCATGTGAGAAAATGATTTACACCGTATTACTGAGGCTCGTTTTTTTTTAATTCAATGCTTGTATTATTACATACCTGGGGGGGATATAATGAGCTTCAATTTTAGTGTGAATAAGAAATACATTTTTCATATTCTTGCTCATGGTTATGTGGTAAAGAATTAGCAATTTAATATCAGCGACCAAGATGTTGCTTTCACCTCTCGTGTTAGAACTACGAGTATATTAACTAATATTGAGTCTTCTTAGATTTTTTTCTATAAAATGTTCCACATATCTTATCCTTTTGAACTAAACATTGATGGTGCTGGTTTCTTGTTTACTAAATGTTGTGAACTGCAGAGTCTGAGAGCATGCAAACATTTCTTATACTGTACTACTATATACTTTTTGATATGGTCAAAATAGTGACATATATAAATAGATGACTGAATGTTTATGATTTTGATAAACAGTGAATTATGACGATGATTTACCTCTAGTTATAAATACTGCATATCTGAAAGAATGATAATTAACCTTCGATTTTTCTGTCACTTCATATTCAATGATATCAATTAAATTGTTTAAATTATCAAAAAAAAAAATCCAGTCCACTATGAATTCAGTAAAAAATAACATGCTTTCATCAACATACCAATACATATTGATAAATTAGACACATGTGCAACTCTTGATACCCAAGAGTTGCACATGTGTCTAATTTATCAACATGTCGGTTCAGAGAACCGACATGCTGATAATACCAATACACACCTCGTCATGACGACAAAAAATCATTCCGAGAAACGCATTACTTGATGAGATCAATATTTCCCTACTTACTGAAATATGTGAATACAGAAACATGTATGACAAATATTTCCATCTCATGGTACGCTTTTCTGATTCAACAGGTGCCATGTGCAAAACTTCTCCCTCATCCTTTAATACTGCACTAGAAGATATTTTAAGTTCTATCATCCCGCAGGACCCAGTGTCACCTGAGCCATGGGTAGGAGTGAAGGACGGGTCAAAGATGCCCAAATCATGTCTTCAAGTTCCTTTTGGACCTGCAAACCAGGGAATAAAGGTGACTTCTAGTGAGCTCCTAGGTTCCGAGGACTGCCTGTACCTCAACGTCTTACTCCAGCGGTGAGTAATCATGAATTTTTTTCTCGATACAAGGAATTCTTCAATACCTGTTCAACTTTTGGACGAAGACCTACTTACACTAGTAGATGATCCCACTGTGATCTCGCCTCCTCCTGTTCGACTCACCTGACTACAGTATAAGCCACTTCTCCGGTCATATGCTGTACTATCTACAAGAGTATTGGACTGAACACATCGATTCCAGGTTAAGGGACTGATTACCTCAAACTCCTCCTCTCCTTACCCCTATCTCCTTTGTATTGGACTGATGAAGCCAATAGGAGAGGATAACATTATTGACCAACATGTTCAATTGAAAAGAGAAATAAAAAAGGGGATTAGAAAGGCTAAAGGTGATTATGAAATTAGAGTTGCTAATAAATCAAAGAATAATCCAAAATGATTCTTTCAAGTGTATAGGACGAAGGTGAGGGAAAACGTGGGCCCCATAAAATTGGGAATGGACAGCTGACGGATAACGAACTGGAAATGTTTTCCCTATGTAATGACTATTTTTTGTCAGTCTTTACACATGGAGGACGTAAATGAAATTCCCTTTGTAATAAAAAGTATGATCTGCAATAAAATCTTAGTAGATTCCCCCCAATCGGATTAGAAAAGTGTTCCTTAAGCCCAATTAATCGGCGAACAAAACTGGGACTTTTACGGTTTTTCTTTTCTCTACTCCCAGGTAATATTAAAAGTGGGGGATTTGTGATCCTTGCCCCAAGCTCTAGTTTATTTACGAGGGTTTTTTTTCCTGCAAGATGGTCGAACAATTTTTCCCTTGGTGGCTTGTTGCACCTGTTTCAAAAAAACAGTCCGAATATTCCATAGCACGGGATTCCAGACTACGGCAAGATGTCCATCTTTTCGACAAAAAGAAAAACCCCATCCTTTCATTTTCATTTTTGTGTCTAGAAGCCCTAAAAATTTTTCCCCAAAAAAAGTCTCCCTTTATCGTGATCAAAGCTGGTCTCTAAAATTAGTTTTTTGACCTTCTAGAAACTTCCCCAAAAGAGATTCTGTTTCTTATGCTTTTTTTTTTTTCCCTGTTTTTAGCAAAAAATTTTTTTTTCTGTACAATAATGAAAACTCCACCCCTTTCTCGTTATTTATCTACTGGAACAACTTAACCCCTTCAATAAAAAATCAGCAATATATCCACTTTTTAAATTTGCCATGTGTCAGTTTTTGGCAATGAAAATCAAGTTCTCCACATGCTACAAAATAATTATTAATTTTTTCTGTTACCTACGACTGTTTTTGTGTAGATTTATGATCTTAAAGTTAAATCAATTTTTCAAAAATTCATTTTTCTCCATTACCCTAACTTAAACCCAGTTTAAAGCCCAACAAAAATCCTAAATGGCTAGCGAGAAAAAATAAAACCCAACCCCAGATAAGTGAACCCTCCTGACATACAAGTCATTTCGGCCATAGAATGGTCCCAATTGTCAATGAATGGATGCATTTTTCTAATTTTGCCATTATTTCCCCACCCCTGCTTGGCAAATGCCAATATAAAAAGGGCCCCCCTCTTCTTCCTAAAATGCTATTACTGCCCTTTTCCTTCTATCTAAAACCTCACTTCATCTTTCGATATTTTCCCCCAGCATGTGGGATTAATAAAAGTCCCCTTAACTTGTGATGCTGTAAAACCGGTAACAACATCCTTTATCCCTGCCCCGGGGGAAACACTCTCTGTTTCCTCTCCCATTTCCTTCAAACAGGGCCCCCCTCCTGTAACAACTGACTGTCCCCAAAAAAAAGTACAATTTTCTTACAATCCTTGTTATTTTTCATTGCGACATACCCAAAATGCCCATTCGTCTGGTACACAGGGAAAATGTTTTTAAAGTATCCACGCAATCTCTTTCTTCTCTATCGTTTTTACCTCCAATTCTTCAACTGTCCCCCCTGTATGGCCACCCCAGGGTTCCCCTTTTTGCCTGAGGACTCAAAAAAAGGGGGACTACTTGAATCCCCTTGTTTTCCTCCTTCAATCTCTGTATCTCAAGCTTAACCACCCTCAATTCCTCTTTAAGCTTCTGGTAAAGTTGCTCAATGGAGAGCATCTTGGTTCAGTCCACAGAGAGTACACAAGACACGTCTTCATGACACTACAAGCTTCAATCTGAATTGGGATTTTCATAGTGGCTTTCCCAACAAGGATCAGTTGTAGGCCCTCTATTGTTCATAATTTGCGTTAATGACATTGACGAAGGAATTACAAGTGACATGAGGAAAATTGCTGATGATACAAAAATAGGCTGTATGATTCATACTGAAGAGGATACTAATGAACTCCAGGAGGATTTGGACAAATTAATGTCTTGGACTGAAAAATGGCAGATGAAGTTCAATGTGGACAAGTGTGAAGTACTAGTCCTTGGAAATGAAAATAACCCTCGAAGTTATAAACTAGGTGAAGTAGAGCTTGATCATACAGAATGTAAAAAAGACTTAGGAGTCATGGTAAGCAGAAATCTAAAGCCAAGATGGCAGTGCCTAAGTGTGTGCAATAACGCTAACAGATTATTAGGATTTATTTCAAGAAGTATAAGTAATAGAAGTTTGAACGATATTTTACAGTTCTATACTAGAGAGGCAGTCAGGAGACAGTCAGGGACAGTCGCGCGCGGTTGTGCTCCGTCAAAAACTGCGTGTCTTGAAAGTACCAGAGGGAACAGAATGCGGAAATAAGCGTGTGCAACCATAAAGTGCATATACTCCTTTGAACAAACAAAAAAAGGAATATCAGTGAACACTAAATAGGAAAATATGGATTATAGTGTCACATGGAGAGTGCCGGTGGAGGAACGGTTACCGTGGGAAATAGACCTGACCAGCACTAGTGAATTATTGCCGGATGTCGACACAAGTGGAAATAAACAAACATTGATTTATCTATAAGTAATATAGGAGTGACAAGGATATATATGTGCAGTGACATAGTGAACTAAATTGTAGATAAGAGTAATCTTAATTATCCCCCAGTATAGCTTTACAAATATAGTGTAGATAGGGGAATATCTTACAAGCGATGGAAATAGTGAACTATTGCCAGAGGTCCAGTGAAGTGTTAATAACGGATATGTAACTACTATAGTCATAAGAGATGAAACGAGTGGTGGTAGCATTGAGGTGCAGGGAATCACAGCATACATAAATTTGGGAGCATACAACCGTTACCTCTACAAAACAGGAAATAAACTTTTCCATAGAAGTGTAGGGGAAAGTTAGCATAGGCCTAGCTGCTGTATAAATAATAAAACAATGATCCCAGTATAGCGCAGTGAAAAGTGTATTTTGAAAGAATACAGTGTTTTATCCTTGAGATAAACAGTGAAACAGCACTACATAAAAGGAATTTAAATAATAATAATAATAATAATAATAATAATAATAATAATAATAATAATAATAGTGAAGTGTGGCAGTGTGGGTAAGTCCTGCCCGGCTCACACCCACCCAACACCCACCACCCACCCTACACCACTACCCACATACTGCAAACTTGGTTCGTATAAATACTCTTGCATATTACGGCACCAGCAAGAAAAAGGGTTTAAAGTGGAAATAAGTTTTCTTCCATGGCATCCCAGAGTGTAGTGGATACAGATAGGATGTCAGCAGCATATCTGTGGGACATGTAAAAAAATCCTTGGAAGGAAATCCAGAATCACATGCAATCTATGCTCTTCCAAACACCATATCTCTTGTACTAGACTAAATACAGCCTCAAAAAATGACCTCAAACTAGTAAGGTGCTTCTGGTTGTGCAATAAAGATGTAGAACTTTGGGCAGGTATCAGAAAGGTACTAAGGAGAGTAATAAATGATAAAAATAATCAGGAAAAACAAGGATGACCTCTTGGATAGTCTACCAGAAATATATAAAACATGGGAGAAAGAGATAGTGTATCAAAAAATGCAGAATGCCCATACCACAACAGATGACTCGAAACTATCTAGTCACCCACATAGTGCTAAGCCAGACCCATCCCCCAGTCATAGCACTAATACCCACAGTGCTGGTGTTGGCCCAGGCTCCCCAGTCATAGCACTAATACCCACAGTGCTGGTGCTGGCCCAGGCCCAGCCGCTGGCCCAGGCCCAGCTGCTGGCCCAGGCTCAGCCCCCAGCCCCAGTGCTGACTCAGACCCAGCCCCCAGCCTTACTGCCAGCCCAGAAGCTACCAGGGACCCTACCACAACCACCACTAAAACCGTAAATATACAACCATCATTGCACAAGACCGTGGCCCACAGTACAGATGTTGGAGAGGAGTCTCCTCCTTCTTCCTCTACTGGGGAAAGTAGATGGAATCCAGGACTGGGTGGCCCTGGCTTGGATACTGAGGATTATAGTGCAGTCCCACAACCTGCAGAAATTGACAACACACCTCCCAACAATTCTCAACCAAAGGTGAATTTGTGCAAATATTATGCTTGGGGCATCTGTAAGCATGGAATATCAGGAAAAAAAACGGGACATGCAACTTTGAGCATCCCAAAAAATGTAGCTACCTCCTGTCTAAAGGAGTGTGTCGTTCTTCTTCCTGTACTTTCTTTCACCCAAAAATGTGTCACTCCTCGGTCCTCCAGAAGCAGTGTTACAACATCGACTGCCCTGCATACCATCTAAAAGGGACCAGACCCCACAAGACAAACAAAAATAGCTACGACAACCCAACTCCAAGTGATTTTTTAGTGGCAGGAAACGGAAAAAGAAAATGGAAGGAAATAACAAAAATAGTCCTCCACCTTGGAGCCTTGTTGGACTGGAGGCGCAGTCAGTGGCCACCCATGTCCCTCCAGAATTACAACTACTGATGCCAATAACAAAATCCCCCCAACAAACACAGAATACAACCTCGTTTCATATTTGTAATTTACGGGGCTTTAAGCCATCCACCAACAACAAAATACCTTTTATCAGTGGACTTCCAGAGGAGTCTAAAGCAATGTTTGCAGCCTTCACAGAGACTCACACAAAAGATCACTTTGACAGTGAAATATGGATAAGTGGTTACAACCTTTTTAGATGCGACAGAAAGAACAGGCAACAAGAGGGGGTTGGCCTGTATGTCAAAGAGTCCCTCATCTGCATGGAGTTGCTGAACACCACAAATAAGGTTGTTGAAGTTTATCAATAAAGATCGAGAACCAAAACCAGTCATTGTGGTTGCATATAAACCACCAGATGCAACCTCACAACAGTTCAAGGAACAGCTACTGAAAATTGATTACTCTTTGGAAAACCTTCCAGCTCCATCCCAAACATCTTACTGCTTGGTGATTTCCACCTAAGGCATACAAAATGGAAGAATGTAGCAAATAATGTTATAGCTGAAAAATCCCCGGAGGTAGCGCAGATGAAAGGTCACACCCCATGAGCTAAATAAGTCTCTGTGAAAAACACACCTTAAGCCAGCAGATAGTGGAGCCAACAAGACTAGAAAACACACTTGACCTTATCTTCACAAATAATGAGGACCTGATAAGAGACATAAGAATATCCAAAAAAAACTAATTCCGATCACAACCTAATTGAAGCCCAGACGTACATGCATAGGGGTCCTGATCAGCAGAATGCATGTACCTGTGAAGGTGTCTTCACAAAATACAACTTCAACAAGAACATCAACTGGGACCAGGTAAACCATGTCCTAAACGAAACATGTTGGGAAGATGTCTTAAATGACATGGATCCAAACCAGTGCCTTGAAAGGATCAACTTCCTGGCAGCCAAAGCATGTTCTAGGCATATTCCCCTAAGAAAGAAGAAGGCAGGAGTAAACTGGAGAGAAAAGACGCTCCCTCTACAGAAGACGACGAAGAGTCCCCTGAGCTCCTCAGGAGTGCTAGAATATCTGATACACGAAAGGAGGCGCGACCAGGAAGTGGAAACTATCGAACTTAAGTTTTAAAAACTCTTACAGGAAAACCCGGAGAGACAGGAGGAGCTTAAAGCTATTAGTGAAATGAAATAAATTCAAAATATTTCTTTTCATAATGCCCAAAAAAAAAAGGCCAAATACACATCTAGTATCGGGCCCTTACTCAGACAGGGTGGGGCTTACCAGATGACAACAAAGGGAAAAGAGTGAAATATTGAAATCCCAGTACGACTCTGTGTTTTAGTGAACCACTAATCAGTCTGAGGTCGACGACCCAAATGATTTCTTCATGAATTTAGCCTCAAAACTCCATAAATGTATGCCAGGGTTTCCGACATTACACTAACTCCGTTAGATATCGAAAAAGCCATTGACAACATGCCATGCACTCAGCCCCAGGCCGGGCTCGTGGAAACTCTGTTTTCATTAAGAACTGCAAGAAAAAACCCCTCTGCGTGCCCTAAGTACACCATGGAGGAGGAGCTTGGACATGGGCGAAATTCCACAGTCACTTAAAACAACGAATATAGCCCCACTCCATAAAGGGCAGCAAAGCATTAGCTAAGAATTAGACCAATAGCTCTGACGTTTCCCCCATCATAAATTTTTTGAAAGAGTGCTAAGAAGCATGATTGCAAATCACCTGGATTCCCAAAATCTGCACAATCCCGGGCAACATGGGTTCAGGCAGGTCGCTCCCGCCTCTCACAACTACTGGATCACTATGATATGGCCTTGGATGCACTGGAAGAAAAACGGAATGCAGATGTAATATACACAGACTTTGCAAAAGCATTTGACAAATGCGATCATGGTGTTATAGCCCATAAAATACGTGCTAAAGGAATAACTGGGAAAGTGGGGAGATGGATCTTTTAACTTCCTAACAAATCGAACACAAAGAGTAGTGGCAACAGAGTTAAATCGGAGGCTGCCATAGTGAAGAGCTCTGTTCCACAAGGCACAGTACTCGCCCCCATCTATTCCTTATCCTCATATCAGACAATAGACAGAGATATACATCATAGCACCGTATCATCCTTTGCGGATGATACTAGGATCTGCATGAGGCTGTCATCTGCTAAGGACGCGGTTACCCCCCAAGAAGATTAAAACAAAATTTTCCAGTGGGCAACGGTAAACAATATGATGTTCAATGAGGACAAATTCCAACTACTCCGTTATGTAAAACTGGAGGAGATAATAACTAGAACAGAGTATACTACAGACTCTGGCCATACAATAGAGCGGAAAAATAATGTAAGGGACCTGGGAAATTTGTAATGTCTGGGATCTCACTTTCAAGGATCACAACATTGCCACGATCGCACGTGCAAAGAAAACGACAGGATGGATAATGAGAACGTTCAAAACGAGAGATGCTAAGCCAATGATGATCCGTTTCAAATCCCTTGTTCTCTCTAGGCTGGAATACTGCTGTACATTAACATCTCCATTCAAAGCAGGTGAAATCGCAGATCTTAGAGAGTGTACAGAGATCCTTTACTGCACGTACAAGTTCTGTCAAGCACCTTAACTACTGGGAACGCTTGGAAGCACTTGACTTGTACTCGTTGGAACGCAGGAGGGAGAGATACATCATAATCTACACTTGGAAAATCTTGGAAGGAATGGTCCCAAATCTGCACACAGAAATCACCCCAAACCGAAAGTAAAAAGACGGGGCGGGGCGTTTCAAAATCCCCCCCAACAAAAAAAAGGGCGCCATTGGTAAAACAAAAGAGAAAACACCATAAGTGTCCGGGGCCCCC